GTGGGGATGCTCGAAGGCGCGGCGTACGGGACCCCGGCTTTTGGCGGCTTGCCGAGCCGCAGAAGCCTCCCCACCCCGCTTCAGCCTTTCGGCAGAGGTCACGCTCCCGTGAGCGTGGCTCCGTTTATTCCAAAACGCAGAGCACTACATTAATTGCTGCCATTCCGGGCTCTAAACAAATTGGCCCCTAAATGCGTTTTTGCCAAACGAGGCGCGTTTTGTTAAAAGGGGACGGGAGGAGGGCGATTTTTAAAACCGCTATCACCGTAATGCGGTGAAATTACCATGTAGCACGCAGGGGTCTGAAAGCTGCAATTAATATCCCACACCTTTCCGAAGCCTTTGTGTGATGACAGTCCCAGTTAGAAGAGCGGCTGGTCCGGGGGCGCAGCGGGGACCCGTCCCCCCCGCTCCCAGACGCCTGGGTGCTGAGCGCCTCAGCCCCGCGCCGGGGGCACGGCCAGGCCCGGCAGCGCACAGCCCCTCCGGCCCATGTCGTGGCTTCTGGCTCCTCCGCTGAAGGACCGAGGGTCCGGCCAGCACCGCCCGCCCAGCCCCGTTCCTGCGCACCCGGGGCAGCGGCAGCCGCATCTCGGCGACTTGCAGCAGGACAGGCAGCCGGGGAAGGGAGAGCCCCCTCTCTGCACTGAAATAAAAGCCACGGGGTGGCCGCCGGAGAGCGGCGCGTCCACGCCGGCCCGAAACCCGTAGGAACCTCGCGCCTTCATCACTGCCACCTCTTTACTCATTGTCCCACGGGAGCTGCGAGCAGTCAGATTCACTGCTAATCAAGGGAAAACAAAGGGGGGTTTTTAAAAATAACCTGTGACCAATCCCTAGTGAAGACAGAAAGCCCTCCAGCCGGTAGGCTCGGCTGTGCAGAGGCAGCTCGGCTCTGACCAAAGCCACCCCGGCGCCGAGAGCTGGCAGCCCAGCTCGCACCGAGCCCCTGGCCGCGGCACAAACCGCCCAGCTGAGCATCCTGCTGCCGCCACCGCCCCGGGGCAGAGCTGCGGGCCGGGCACAGCCTGGGGCTGGAGGTGCACCACACCGTGATTTCCAGGCAAAGCCCCACTAACGAAGCTGCTCAGAGGCCTTGCGGTTGCTAGTCAAGTCCTGGAGAGATGAAAGCCTTATTTATGAGTAAGATATATCTTCAGAGGGAGCAATAAACTGCAAAGCAAAGTATGAAGGTTTGCAGCAAATGCTGTAAAGTTTTACACTGCCGAAAACTAGGAATAAAAGATAGACCCATTTAAAACAAAGTGGATGCAAAGGGTTTCCACAGGACTGTAAAACAGCCTTATAATAGTTAATTGCTAGTTTTTTGTTGCAGTACAGAGAAATTCAAACCAGAAAAAGAACCGTTTAAATCTCCATCGAAGAGCAGGAGAAAAGAAAGGAAAGCGAGAGGAAGAAAGCGAAGAGCGCGGGGGAACATGAACCTTTTGTTCAGGATCCTCTGCACCACGCGGAGGAAGAGGCATCTTTTGTTCCCGGCCCGGCTGCAGGCAGGAGCCTCTCGGGGAGCAAAACCCACGGGGTGACACCCGGGGCAGGATCCCAGCGGCCTGCCCGTTTATTAATTACATGTGATTTAACTACGATCGTATCGACACAGAGACAACAGAGAAAAATCAGCCAGGCACTACTGCTTGCTTCCGCCCCCGGGGAGGAAGGGGCAGCCGGGGGGATATTCCTCCAGGTCCGGCGGGGAAGTGGAAGAGTAATACTTTTGACCAAAAATACAAAAAGCCCTGAAGCGTTTTCCACAACAACCGACCACCACGCTGCTGACCGACGCCGTCGAGAGCAGCGGTACGCGGCGGATACCCCCGGGGAACCCCTGTACCCCCACCCCGCCTCTCCGACCCGCTGCATGCGGGAGCTTCCCACCCCGGGAAGCACAACGCTCCTTGCGAGGGGAAGCCAGGAAGTTTGCAAAGAAGCCCCTAAGAAACTGTTGCATTTCAGAAAATAAGTGCATTTTATCCTTAAAGAAGCGCAGCTACCTCCGCTCTTCAGATAACCGGTGTTTTTAGCAAGACAAACTTTTGCTTCCCTCTCCAAAAAGTGTTGCAGACTAGAAATATTTGCTGTTCGGGTGCTTTCTTTACACATATTCCTACAAATATGAAGGAGAGGAGCATCTAAAGCTCAGGCCAGCAAAAAGCACAGAAAAGAAAGAAAAGGGCGCTTTCCTTTGCACCCTCAACGCCCAGCTCCCTTCCGCAGGCGCCCCAGCTCAGCCCTGGGCCGCACGCCAGCTTGCACTTACCTCTCTCCAGAAGCAGGGGACAGGTACCAGGGGGGCTCTGGGGGTGCCCAGGCTGAGTCTGGGGCTGATCCTACACCCCGGGTGCGAGGCAGCTGCTCTCAAGCACCCATGCAAGCCACAGGCACTGCGGAGAGCCCAAACCACGAGCGCCTCGAGGTGCTGCGAGGGCCAAAACCCCCCACGTTTTTTCCCCCCACCCTTTATAAGCTGCCCAGGTGATGGAACGAGGCTCAGGTGCTGCTCCTTAGGCTGATGGGGCACAGGCCTGGCTCAGCTGGGGGCTTCCCGCCTCCCCTCCCCGCAGCTTTCTGCAGGGACTTCTCTTTTTTTTTTTGTGTTGTTTTTCCTCCCTGTAATGGCAGATTTTGTGCATTATCCAGGAAAGTAAGCAGAGCAATACGTTCCACAGCGTAAATATCGAAATGCTGTTTATATCAATCAGAGAAGCACTTAGGTAGAGATGACAATGGAGCCCGCAGAGCCCTAATCACACACTTTGATTGAACTAAAAGTACAAGGGAAAATGGAAATCAGACGCCTAGAGCCGAGATTTCAATAGGGATGGAAAGCTGGAGCGGCAGAGGCGTTCGGGGGGCTGCTCCCGGCTGGGGGGGCCGCAGGGACGGGCTCTGCCGCCCATTTCCAGGAGCAGGGAGCGCCGGGCTGGCGGCGCGGGCCACAACAAGGCAAAGCCCCAGGATGGCCACTGCTCCCACTCCGAAGTGTGCCGCGGCACCCCGGGTGCTGATACTTGGTACTTTTGTCCCCCAGATGATGTCATCCAGTGAGCGGGAACAGGCTCTATGGACCGAAATGCCAACACTGCGCGGGCAAGTCGGGAGTGATCGCTCGGATTTTATGGGTGGCTCTCACCGGGCACGTCTCCCCTGGTGCTCGGGGCAGCAGGCGAGGGGCAGGGCACGCGTGGGTTCCTTTCGCTCCCTTCTCCCTGTGCAGGGATTGCAGAGAGCAGACCCCTCTCCTCCTCCTGCCAGCCCGCCCAGGCTCCTTGGGAACGGCCCCACAGAGCCGCCGGCCCCGTTGAGACGGGAGGGAAATGCAAGTGAGCCAAGCAAACCTCAGGAAAAATGTAAATATTCCGCGAGGTGTGAGAACCGGGGCCCCTCAGGAGCACAATTTGGGGCTGGCAGGGCTGCCCATTCCCACCCCAGCACTTTCCTTGTGGGCACGGACAGCAGCACCACTGCATTTTACGCTTTGGTATCAGCTTTACTGCTGGCATCTTCCCTTCCATGAGAGCATCCCCTTGCGGGGCAGGGGGGGATGAGACAGGGTGGCCGCACCTCGCTACGGCGTGCAGCACCTCACAGGGTTCCTTGAGGGCTGAGGATTTCACAGCGGGGCAGATTCGCCTCTCCTCCACCTCCCGGTCCTGTTGCGGTGCTGAGACTTCAGGCGGCGGGGAGACACCCCCCAGGGCATCGATGGGTTTTATCGCTGGGCTTCCAGCTGCAAGGCTTGGGGCGGCCGTGGTCCAGCTCGGGGGGTGACGTCCCGCGGCAAAGAGGCCCCCGGGTCTGCTGGCCGGGGCCGGGGGGCTCCCGTGGGGCCGGTGGCTCCGGAGGCCGTTTCAGCCCCGGGGCTCAGCGCCCCAGTCGCGGGGCAGCGCTTGTTGTCGGCTCTGCGCTCGGAAGAAAACCTCTTGAACGCGTTCATCTTTCAAGCTGACATCCTTTTCACGCTTCGTGCCGTCGGCAGCGGGTTTCGCATCGGCGGGTCCGGCCGTGCATGCGGCATGGCGAGGAGGGTTTGTTACGCAAAGTCACCTCGGGATCTAAAACCGCGCTTATTAGTCCGAGGATGATACGGCGGCTCATCCGCCTGTCACTGCTAATGACAGATCTTTAAAAAAGCAGAGGCCAATTATATAGATTCGGAGTCGGTAATGAGCCTAAAACTGTTTGATCATTTTGGCTCCTGCTGGGTGAGCGGGAAGAGGGCGAGATGCTGCAGGGACCTGCCGCCACGGAAGCGCGGGGCTCTGCTGCCTCTTCGTGGCCAAGGAGGCGGCTGCCACCGCGTCCCCTCTGTGTCCCCACCGCTCCCCGACACCGCGGCCGAGGGGCTGCGGGGACCCCGGGCAGGCCGGCACCCCCCGGCCGGCGCAGCGCAGGCAGGGCCGCGGGGTCCGGGCGGCAACAGCCACGCACTGAGGCTGGGAATAGTCCGGGTTTCGGGGCGAGGAGGTGAAACTGCAGTTTTCCGAGGGGAACCTGAAAAAAATAAAGCCGACAAAACCGCCGCAACAGAGCTGAAATGTCAGCAGGTGCCTTTCGCAGGCTGGCGGCCATCCCTCCTTCCCACGGGAGAGGCACTGACGGTGTCTCCCAGCGCATCCTACGGCCCCAAAACTTCCTCACCACGTCCTGTGACCCGACACGCCGGCTTCAAGGCTGCTGCGACGGAGCCGAGGCTCGGGCGCGCTAACGCCGCTTGCAGAGCTGCCGGGCTGTGCCCACCAGTGATACCAGCTCGCGCCGGACGGGTTTGCTGCTGCCAGTTGCTGAAAAGCTCAGGACATGGGATGGAATCCAAGGGATTGCGGGGACGGGCAGTCGTGCAGGGGACTGCACGGCTCAGGAGCTGCTGGGGGGGATCTCAACAGGAAGTTTTTTTACGGGAAAAGTAAAGCTGGGTGCAAAAACAGAGCGCGAGAGAAAGCCCTGCTCGCGAGAGGAGTGTGTTCAGCCGCCCCCGGAGCAGGCGACGCCGGAGGGAGGTTAAAACTGAAAGGACAGCAAGGGCTCCGCAGCGCCGGGTGGGAGGAGCGAGCGGCAGAGCTGGCCCTGGGCAGGATGGACGCTCCCGCCGTCTTCACCGACGCTGACTTTTACCAGCAGAGTTTCGACCCTCGGGAGTATCTGAAAGAATTTTACGGCTTGAGCGACAGCCAGGGACGGGCAAACACCTTCCTGATGCAAAACCTCCGGAGCCTGGTTAAAATGTTCTCCTTGGGTGAGTGACCCCGCTCTCGGTGCTGGGCAGCTTCGGGCGACGCCATTTGTGGGGCTGCCCTTGGGTGGCACGAGAGCTACCTCCGTGCTCTCTACATACGCACACACCCCCCCTTTTCGTGTGAGTGTGTGTGTGTGTGTGTGTGTATATATCTATAACTATATATATATATGCACGCCCGTCTCTCTGTGCATACAGAGCTTTGCCAGCTGGAGTTGTTCCAGAGTTTCCGGAAACACGTCCCATCCGGGCTGGGAGTGTCCTGGGGCACTCGGGATCGCGTTGCGGGGTTGGGGGAAGCGCAGGGCGACGGGGCTGCGGGGCGGCTCTGTGCCGGGACACGCTCTGCGTCCTCACGGGGCTGGTCTCCCCGCTTCCTCCTCTCTGCACCAGACGGGCTGAGGGGCGATACCCTGATAGACATCGGCTGCGGCCCCACCATCTACCAGCTGCTGTCCGCCTGCGAGCGCTTCCAGCAGATCATCGCCTTGGACTACATGGACCAGAACCGCCGGGAGCTGCAGAAGTGGCTGGGGAACGAAGCGGGAGCCTTCGACTGGAGGGCGGTGGTGAAATACGTTTGTGAGCTGGAAGGGGACAGGTGAGGCTGGCTTCCTACCCCCGCCCACGGCGCACACGAGGTCGCTGGCACAGATGTGAAATAACTGCATACCGAGCCTTCACCCCTTTATTTATTGCTAGGGAGAAGTGGGCGGAGAAAGAGGAAAAGCTGAGAGGGAAGGTGAAGCAGGTTCTGAAGTGCGACGTGACCAAAGCCAACCCCACGGACCCCGTGTCCCTGCCTCCCGCCGACTGCCTCCTCTCCACCCTCTGCTTGGAGGCCGCCTGCAAGGACCTGGCCACCTTCCGCAGCGCCCTGAGAAACATCGCGGCCCTCCTGAAGCCGGGGGGGCACCTGGTGATGCTGACCGTCCTCCGGGAAACCTACTACGCCTTCAACAAGCAGGTCTTCTCGTGCCTCCACCTGGAGAGGAACGCGGTGGTGGAGGCTGTGGAGGCGGCTGGCTTCGATGTGAAGTTCAGCGAGGTGCAGCCGTACGAGCCCGGCGACGTCCGCACGGACTGCGAAGGTGTGCTGAGCCTCGTGGCGTGCAAGCGTGCCTCCATCACCGGGTAGCGCGCGGGCCCTGGGGAGGAAAACAGCAGTGTGGTTTCAAAAAGCCCCGCCGATGTCACCCGCGGCCACTTACCCCTTTCTCTGAAAGCAAATACACACATGAGTGCCTGAGCAGTGTCCGTGGGCTGAGATTTATGCAGCGCGCCCAGCCCCAGCACTCGAAGCCCCGGCTGCGTGCCGGGGCCGACCCCGCCGGCTCGCCCCAGCCCAGAAACAGAAACTGCACCCAAGTCCCTTCCCCGCCATCCTCCCAGGTCAGAGCGGAGCTCCTGAGAAGCCTCCCTCTTTCAGCCATGATGCGCTTTTTAGGGACCAAAATCCATTCCTAGGGGGAAACAGTTTGGCTGCGAAGGCAGCGGGACTGTCCAAACGCAGATTTGTTTCTGGTTTCCCGACAAATCCTGCCTGCTCTGGCTAAAAAGGGGGGGGGAGGGGGGGTGAGTGGGGGGAAAAGGATGCCGTCACGGGGAGCAGCACGCAGAGAACCCAGAGTACCTGGTGGTCTTCTCGGTAAGCTTGTAAAAATAGTCTGACGAGATGCCGCAGCCCCGGCAGAACGTACCGGCCGGGCACAGGGCAGGAGGGAAACGCTTGCTCTCCCCAAAAGCATCCTCCAACGGCTCAAGCACTGCTGCCCACGCGCAGTCCTTGTCCCACGGTTACAGCCAGCCAGACCTGCAGCACACCAGACAGTCATTTTAGAGAAACTCGGGCCCTGACATTTTTAACAGTAATTAACATTAGCGCATTCAACACGCCTCAATTCTCGGCAGTTTTTTTGGAGTAAACGTTTGGGATTTGTTGCCGAAGCTCCCCCTCCCCTTGTTCACACTGATTTTCTTTTGGGGTAGTTTTGGTTGCAGGGTGAAAAGAAATAGAGAAGCAGGGAGTTTTCTCACTGGATATGCACAGATAGAGTCCCATCGCAAATCTTACTACTACTGACAGAAGAGGCTGGCATAAAGAAGGAGACAGAGAGGGAGAGAGAGAGGGTGCTCCGGGCCAGGAAGGAGCTGAAGGCAGAAATAAATCCTGGTGCCAGCTGCCACACGAGCTCCACAGCACCCTGCAAACCCGGGTAGGAACCAGAGCGGTGTGGCCTTCACCCCGCCCCATCGCCGTTCAGTTTCGTGGTACGAACCTCATGGGGAAAAAAAAAAAACCCACTGAGGCATTCAGGGCTGGAGGGAAACCCTGGCCCCGGGACAGACCGACAAAGGTTGTCAGGTGGAGCCGCGTGTGGCCCCAGGAGCGTACAGCGGGGATGCCACATCGGCGAGGGGAGCAGCCCTTGGTGACACCACCAGCTCCGGCGCTGCTCGGCGTGACTGTCCCCAGAGCCAGCGGGACACGGCCCGGGGGTTGGCACTGCCGGATGGCCCCGTCGCCCAGCTCCAAAGCTGGAAACCGGAGGGTGCTCGGAGGCAGCGCGGGACCCCCGAGGCTGGCTCCTTACTGCTGAACGGCACCCCCCCCCCCCCTTGCCATAAAGACCCCCGCGCCTGCCGGCGCCGCGCAGTAAAGGCAGGAATTCAGCAGCTGCTGACATGTTCTCTGGAAATAACATGCCCAGGTCTTGTAGCGCCGGCGTCTTTAATCGCTGTTTAACTGTTTGAACATCGGCATCGCTGGGGATTTTTATGGTCTGTTTAAAAAGCACAATGATTCCCTTCACGGAGAAGTTTGTAGCTACAATTACCCTTCTGTCGCAACCTGCCAGGAGCCATCCGAAGCCTTTCCCAGCTGAGGGGCCGGGCGGTGTTCTGCTCGCTGGCTGAAATCGCGGCGGCACGGCCGGGCGCAGGTCAGACCCGTGTGACGAGCGGCTCGGCTCTCCCCTCGCCCGTGCTGGCGCTGGGAGCAGCAGGGTGCAGCCCGTGGGATGGAGAGGGTGTAAAAAGGGAGGGCAGCGTGCCTCCCCACACCCCAGCTCCCCTCCGTCCGCCTCACCCCGACTCTCCCCGCGCCCGAAGCCGAAGCGGCGGCACAAACCAGCGGCCGAAGCTCGCTGCGGTGAAGCTGTGGCTTCTCTCGGTGCCTCTCCCTCTCCGTGGAGCCCCGGGATGTTCCGTGGAACCCAGGAACGAGGCGTGTGGTCGCCCCGTCGCCGGCCGCGACCCGTCTCCCCGGAGAAAGGGCTGTCGTTGGCAACGGCTGCACCCGGCCAATCTGCGGTTGGGTGTAATGACTGGTGTTTGGGTGCTGGCTGCAGGGAATTTTTTGCTTGAGCCGGACCGCGACGGGGTCCCGCACCGCGGGAGAGATCAGAGCCGGACCCGCGAGCTGGGAGACGTGGGGTGTCTCCTGCTGAAGGGTAAGTCACCCAGAAAGGCTGAGAGGGGGGTGTGAGGCACGAGCACCAGCGATGATCCCAGGAGGGGCTAACTGCTCGGTTTGCCTCCGGGGCAGAACTGGGGGAAGTTTCTGCGATATTTAGGAGCGCCTGCATATTGAAAGTGCAAGCAGGCAGCTCAAGAGCAGGTCTTGCCCACCAAAGGGAAAAAACTGTCTGGTTTTCCACTTTGCCTCTTTGAAGAGCAAAAAGAGGCATGAAACAGCAAGAGGAAAAGGGAATAAAAACACATGACAATTAGAAGAGCGGGCCTGTGAAAAAGCGTTGGCCGTTCTCTCCTTGTTGTTTTTTTTTCTGGGTCTGGGCTGCCCCGGGCAGCACCTTCCGTGGGTCCCTGAGTGTGGGGCCCCCACGCACGCTCCCGGCCAAGCCCGAGGGAACCTAGAAAGGGGGGAAAAAAAAGCAGAGGGAAGCAAACGAGGCTCCGGGGAAATTAAGGCGAAGCGGAAGCCCTGGCAAAGCGAGGTAATAATTTCCTTTCTGAGTGAGTAACTGTTTAGAATGTAACCAGGCGAACACGATTAAAGCAAATGAATATAAATTCTAGGTGCGGCGGTAAGTAATGAAGTGGAGAGAATGAACAGCGCCTAATTAACAAGAAAATAGGATCTGCCATAGCGCATCGGAATCGAAGGAAAAATGAAGGGCCCAACTTCCCCTGTCACAATTTTTCCTGATGGAGAACGCCCCCCTCTGACACCCGGAGCACGGAGCGCGGTGACGGGGAGGGGAAATTTGGGAAAAAACTCGGCGAAGCGAAGCCGCCAGGGGAGGAATGCCCGGCGCCGGGGTTTTACCGGGGATGGGGGGGTGGGAGCTCCCCCCCTCGCCCGCCAACAAGGGGTTAATCCGTGCCCCCCCCCCTCCCCTCCGGAGCACAAGGGGTTAACCCGTGCCCCCCTCCCGCCCGGCGCAGGGGCGGGGCGCGCCCGCTGACGTCAGGGCGGCGCCTGCGCAGAAGCGATCGGCGGCGCCGGGGCGGGCGGGCTGCCCGGCCGCGGCCATGGGGGCGGCGGCGGCCGAGGCCGATCGGACCCTTTTCGTGGGGAACCTGGACCCCAAAGTCACCGAGGAGCTCATCTTCGAGCTGTTCCACCAGGTACCGGCCGGCAGCCGCCGGGCCCCGCCGGGGGGGGGGTGGGGTGGCGGCGGGGTGTGTGTGTGTGGGGGGGGCAGGCCGCGGCCGCCATTTCGGGGCGGGGACGGCGGCCGCCGCGGGACAAACCTCCGCGCCGTAACGCGCCGCTGCTCTGGCCCGGCAGGCCGGGCCGGTGGTGAAGGTGAAGATCCCCAAGGACCGGGACGGGCGGCCCAAGCAGTTCGCGTTCGTCAACTTCAAGCACGAGGAGTCCGTCCCCTACGGGCTGAGCCTGCTGAACGGCATCAAGCTCTACGGGAGGCCCATCAAAATCCAGTTCCGCTCAGGTACCCGCCGCTCCTCGGGTTTGACGGGGGGAACCGCGCGTGGCGCTTCCTCAGGCGCTCACCCGCCGAGGAGCCAGCGGGTGCGTGGGGCAGCAGCGCCGAGCGGGCGCCCGCTTCGCTCCCTGCACTGCAACGCCAGACCTTTGTCACTCGTTACCAGGCTTAATCCCTGAGCTGAGCCTTTTGTTGCGGTGGTTTTGATTATTCCTCTGTGCCCTCCAAAGCTGCTCTACCTGAGCGGTAAAAGTCGCACCCGCCGTCCGCCTCGGCCACGGTATCGCCACCCCGCCGGGTACTAAAACAGTCCCGGCGTCATCGTCTTCTCTCGGGGGCCGCTGCGGGAAGGCGACCGTACCTCAGTTTCTGGTGACACCCTTGGGGCCCCAGTCTCTCGAGCGCGTGCTGGCCGGTCCCCTGAAAGGTTTCTTTCTCTGCAGGGAGCAGCCACGCGTCCCAGGATGGCAATGCCTTGGGGTCCCCGCACGGAGCCGCCAGCGCCAGCCCGGCCGGCGCAACCCACCCAGCATCGACCTGCGGCAGGTACGGGCCCCGTGGGTCCATGTCGGCTCCAGTGTTTGCACAGCTCGTGGCACACCTGGCTGCTTTTCCAAGCTTGTGGAGCGAATGCTCCCATCCCTGGTTCGCCTCTTGGTGCCTGGAACCCGCGCGCAAAAAGGGCAGCGTGGTGGTTTCACGCCAGACCCGCTGAGGAGAGCGCAGGCGCATCAGCGCCCGTTTCCCACCACGGCAGCGAGCGCTCGGCCCGGCACTCTGTTTGAGACGGGAGGAAGACGGCTCGGCTCCACGCACCCCTTGGTCCTGCGTTTCCAGGTGAAGGGGTGAATCGTTTTCTCCCCACAGGTACGAGCGGGGCGCTGAGAGCACGGTGGCAGCGGGTTTCTCCTCGGCGCAGCGGTCCCTGCCGTCGGCCGACAACCTCCAGAGACCAGCAGCGGTATGCCGATCGCTTCTGCGGCCGCCCAGGGCTGCCCACCAGCGTTGCCTCTCCTTTAGAGTCCTTTCCTGTCCCGGCTGTGAGGGGTGGGAGCGCGCCCCTAGAGCGCCCCACGCCCACCAGCCCTTTCCCTCTTCTCTTTCCAGATGAACGCGTGGCAGCCGCCGCACTTCGGAGGGAAGTACGAGCAGCCCGGCTTCGCCCTGCCCGGCTACCAGCACACGCCCCACGCCTTCCACCCCTCGCCGGCCCCGCCGGTGCCGCGGCGCCCGGAGGGGCCGGCCCCACGCAAGGCCAGGCTGGGCACCCACCCTTACCACCCCGACAGCCGGCACTTCGGGCGCGAGCCGCGCTTCGGGGAGCGGGGCAAGAGGGAGGAGTACGGCTTCGAGGAGAGGGGCCACGAGGCCGAGCATCACTACAGGGCGGGCCGGGAGGAGCCTGCCTACGAGGACAGGCACCGGGACTGCTGGAGCCACGACTACGACTACCGCAGGGAGAGCTACAGAGAGGCCAAGTGGCACCCGTCGCGGCACTAGCGCCGGTGCGAGGGACTTGATGGCCAAAAAGGCTCCATCTACTTCTTACCGAGTATACGTATATAAAAAAAAAAAAAAAACAAACCAACAACCCCCCCAAACGCAATCCTTAGAGATTACCTTTTAATGTCTGTAAAGCAACTAGCGGCGGCGTCCTCCTAAACGCGCGTCTCGTTTTTGAAAGCATTTGCTCTCGCGTGCCGGCAGGGTAGTGTGGGTGTCGGGCAGCACGGCGAGGGGGGCCGTGCTGGGCCTGGCGCGTTCCGGCTCCTTCAGTATCTCACCCGGCGTTTTTTTTATACGGAATATTTGAATAGTCCCTGGCTTAGAGAAGAGCATTAAAAGTCTCTCTGAACGAAGCAGTGGGTAAACCCTCCTCCTTTCCGTGGGGGGAGCGCCCCGGGGATTTTCGGGTGGGCGCGGCGGCGCCGCCGCGTCCGGCCGCGCCTACAACTCCCGGCAGCCCCCGCGGCCGCCGCCCGCGCCCTCTCGGCGGCGCCGCGGGGCCCGCCGGGAGCTGTAGTGCGGCGGCGGCGCTTTGCGGCCTGGCGGCGATGCTGGGCGGCAGCCGCGCCGGCCTGCGGAGCTGCGGCGGGCGGCTGTGGCGGGGCCGGCGGCGGGCGGCGGGCATGGCCGGCGGCGGGATGGGCCAGCGGATGGTCTGGGTGGACCTGGAGGTGCGGGGGCCCGGGGGGGGAGCGGGGAGCGGGAGGAGGGGGGGGCGCCGCGGCCGCGCTACTGACCGTGCCGCTCCCCGCTGTGGCAGATGACGGGCCTGGATGTGGAGAAGGACCAGATCCTGGAGATGGCCTGCCTCATCACCGACTGCGACCTCAACGTCCTGGCCGAGGTGAGGGGCGGCCCCCGGGGGGGCCCCGCCGGCCCGGAGCGGGGAGGGGACCCCCCCGGCAGCGGCCCCTCCGGCCCCCGAGGTGGCTGCGTCGCTCGGCTGCGACTCCTTCACGCAAAACTTTTTCGCCTTACCCTCGGCTCCTTCTCTCCCGGCAGGGCCCCAACCTGATTATTAACCAGCCCGACGAGCTGCTGGACGGCATGTCCGAGTGGTGCAAGGAGCACCACGGGAAGGTAACCCCTCCAGAGCGCCCGGGCGACCCTTCCCCTCGCTTGGCAGCGATGGGGATGACATAAAAGTCAGGATTATTGGTTGCGCTACAGTCCCCTTAGACGGGACAACTGCCGCGGCGAGCAGTTTGCAAGCGGAGGAGGAAGAGAACGGGAGGCAGTGAGTGTCGCCCCTACCTCGTACCGAGGAGCTGCGGCGTGACGTTTTGCCCGTCAGCACGGCGGCAGGCTGCCTTCGCGTGTCGTTTAGTCTTCGCCCTGCCTCTCGGCTGCCCCAGAGAGCGGCCTCGGCTCTGTGGCCGGGTGTTTCTTAAGTTTAAGTAGAGCCGGGAGCATCGGCCGCGGCCGAGAGCCGGCCAGCTCGGGGGAGCTGCAGGCAGGGCAGGGCGCCCGGCGCTCGGGAACTCCCCGAAAGCGGCGGCTCGGGCTCGCACCTCCCGTCCCGAGGGCGAGGAGTTGGGTCTGGCTCCCCGGCTCTGCGTCGGACGGGCTCCTCCGGCAGCTCCTCCCCGTGGAGCCTGTTCCCTGGTCCATAAAATAACCCAAAAGAATTAGCCCTGGTGGGGAAGGGGAAGACGGGGCTCAGGGTCCCAACTAAGAGTAGGCGCAAGATCACCGTAGAATAGTCCAGAGCCCACAAAGAGCAGAAGCATCGCTGCCAATTCCGATATTTGGGGAACTGAACGGACCGGGTTAGCGTAAACATTGCATTGTTGTTTTCGCCCGAAGAAAGCCTTCCTCCTTGCCAGCAGCAAGGAAGCGAATGGATTTTCCAATCCCTGAATATGAATTGAAATTCAAGTTACTTTTCAATTAAGGGCAGAAGTTTTAAGACACCCGTAACCCCTCCCCCTCCTTCCCCCTTCAGCATCTTACTCTTCCCGGGAAGGATTAGCAAGAGTTTGGAAAATTAATATTAATTTACCGTGATGGGTGCTTTTCCCCTTCTCCAGTCGAGGACTCAAACTCTGCTTCAGTTCACGAGCAAATTGAAGATGGTAGCATACGTTATCGCTGCTCCTGAGGAGCTACTTATTTTTAATTGACTAAGAAAAGAGGAGCAATTAGAATATAGATGAAAATGCAGCCACATAATGAATTTTTTAACCACCACTTGGATCTGTCAAGTAGATTTTTGTGGCACAGTCATGGAAATATATCGTGCAGCCAGATGGAAATAAATCACTGAGAACACTTGGAGCAGATTTGACATTTAACTGTTGAAAAAAAAGACGGAAGGAACTTTTCTGATTTACAGGAACCTCGATAGACACTTGGGGCAGGATCCCGGTTGTTTCTGTTTACTTATATCTGCTGCTCTGTGCTGGGGAGGCGAATGCCTCTTCTTAAACGGAGAGCAGTGCGGTGCTGCCCCACGTCGTGTACGTGCAGGTGTGCAAACGAGGCTCGCGGGACGCCTCGGTGGTTGGGAGGAGCCCCGAGAAAGTCCAGCAGCCGGGAAGGACGGAAACCCGACCGAAAGCGCGGGACAGCCCGCGCCGTTGGGACCGTGCTGCGGGCGCCGGCGTTTGCCTCCTGCCCATCGGTCGGACCCGCTGGCGGGGCTCCCAGGGACAGTAAGGGCACGGGGACGCCCCAGAGTACCGAAACGCGGCGCAGGGTGGGGCTTACCGGGGAACGACCCGCACCTGAAGGGCTGAGCTCGTGCTGGCGAGCGCTCCTGGAGGCATCCACCGTGGCGCTGTGCTGCTGCTTTCTGAGAGATGCCTCTCTTTTTTCGCAGTCTGGCCTTACGAAAGCTGTGAAGGAGAGTAAAATTTCATTGCAGCAAGCAGAATATGAGTTCCTGTCCTTTGTACGACAGCAGACACCTCCGGGTCTCTGCCCTCTCGCAGGTAAAGTGTGTTCTTTCTTCATTACACCGGTGTCACCCCCCCGCAGCTGGCAGCGGGACGCCGAAAGGCTGATGCACGTGGCGGGGCTGCCTCACTTCGCTGTGCTGAGATCTGGCACGCAAATCAGGACCTGTTTAGTAAGGAAAGGTTCAGTAACGGCATCATCCATTCTGCAGAGTCCCCAGGGCAAATCCTGCACATCTGTCCTGGGCGAAACTTCAGTTCCTTGTTGCAGTAACGTTTCCACGTACACAGTGGTCGTTGGGGCGGGCAGCTTGACTACCGACAGCCGGCTGCAGCTGCAAAGTCCGAGCAGCAAACCCAGCGGCACCTTTTCCTCGCTGTGAACCGAGCCAAACGCCAGCCCCTCAAAACGTGCTGCTGCCTGGAGCTGCGCACGGGACGCGTAGATACAGTCTGGGCCCGGTGCTAAGCCAGGTGACGACCCGTGACCATTTTCCCTTGGCAGAAAACCCGATGCTTGCATAAGCCTTTGCGATCTATCTGTGCGGCAGAAATTGTAGGAGTGGTGACTGAAGACTTAATGGAGGGATTACGTATTTAAAGTGTGTGATCCCGCAGTGGGAATCTGACGAGCCCTCACGATCACGTTTACTAGAAAGCAGGACGAACGAGCTGCTTGTGAACAGCTTTTCATACCCTGTGATCTTTCGCCGGCGCACTCAGCCTGCTTCTCCTTCAGATGACACGCGTCGTAGCTTTGTGACGCCGTCGAAAAACGTCTCGTTTTCTGTCTTTGTAGGTAACTCTGTCCACGCAGATAAGAAATTTCTTGACAAATACATGCCTCAGTTCATGAGGCATCTTCATTACAGGATCATTGATGTGAGCACTGTCAAAGAGCTTTGCAGGTAAGTGTTCCCCAAATGAAGGAGCCCGAGGACGGGTAATCCCTACGGCGGATGACACAGGTGTCCCTTTTTTCCCCGCCTACAGACGCTGGTATCCAGAGGAATACGAGTTTGCACCCAAGAAGGCGGCTTCTCACAGGTAAGGTTGGACTTCGGGCTGCCGCGGGGCAGGGCTTGTGCCGCAGGAGCCACGCTCTTCACGAGCAGGGTGCGGAGCTTCCTGCGGGCGCCGGGCACGCCGTGTCCGGTGCAGACGACGGCCGAGGCTGCGCGCTTCCGCTCTCACCCGTGTCTTTGGCTCCTCCCGTCTGAGGCCTGGGTAGTGTGGGGGAAGGGGGGCGTTATTAAAACACAGACGGTCGGAACTGTTTCCTTCTCCCTTCCCATTCGCTCTGTGTACTGTTCAAGCCGAGATGCTTGTTTGGCAGCATAAATACAGCTGTGGCGTCTTGGACACAGCACAGGGAGAAACCACCTGAAAACCGTCGCCTGGCGGTGGCTGTGGTCTGTCCTTGTTGTGGGCAGATTTGCTGGCGGAGACACTAAAACGGGGCGACTGCAAACAGGGAGATGAGAGTTCCATTCCTGGCTCTTTCCCGGGTCCGTAACCTGTCGGAGAGCTCCTTCTCCGTTCTGTGGCAGGGTTTCATTTGGAACGGCGCTCCTGCCAGCTTCTGAGCCATCCCCAGAAGGTGGAAGTGCCTCGAGGTTTCGGAAGAAAAAGGTTCTGTGCAATCTTAACACATAGGTCTGGAAAGCTACATCTTCTAGTGCTTCCGACCGGAGGAGACCGTGGGCCCCGTAGGCTTTGCTGAGTCCACCTGTACCGTACGCACAGTAACCGCATCCGTCTTGCTCCTTCGTCTGCGCAGACGCCACGTAGCGCCCCGCACGAGCTGCCTGCGCGCTGGAGTGTCCGCGGTGGACTTCTGTAGGCGCTGCGGAGAACGGCGGCGAAAAGGAGCCGCGGCACCTTTACCCCTGTGCCCCGACGTGGCCGTGCCGGGCGGGAGAGGGGGCTCTGGTGCAGAGGGGGAGAAGGGTGGCTCTGGGAGAGGTCAAGAACCGGGCCAGGCAGGAGCTGCAGGCAGGGCTCCCAAGCGCCCCCCCCTCTCCTCTCGGATTGAGTCGCTTTTAATAGCCGGAGCTGTCGAACCTGTTGCCTTCCAGGAGCTTCCGTGTCCCACGGTGACATAAAGTAATGAGCTGCATGTTCCTCCCTGGCGCGTCGGCGCCGGTGGACTTTTACTGCTTTCCATGTACCCGGGGGTGGCGCGGGCTGTTTTTATTTCTGACAGGTGTGCCATCCGCCCGTATCTGAGTTTGATTTCCTAGAGCCCGGAACGTCTCGGAAGCGTTGGAATCCAGATGTAGCTGAAGATGCGCGCGCCGGCATTCTGAAACCCTCCTTAATTCTCTTTCAGAGCACTCGATGACATCAGGGAAAGCATCAAAGAACTCCAGTTCTACAGAGACAGCATCTTCAAGAGGAGAACGGATGAAAAGAAAAGGAAACTCATAGAGAACGGAGAAAGCGATAAAGCTGCC